ACTTTAATTACAGACAATGAGAGATTTACAACCTTTTGTATATTTCTTACGTTAAATGTTTTAGTATTATGATTTTTATTACCATATTGACGTGATTAGCTGTTCTCGTCTCTGCCCGCAATAATCACTTTAAATATGATATTTGTATATTCATAGAGGTTATACATCTCAGTGAACCTTATTTGATGATGATTAGTTGAAAGAAAATATAAGGAAGCTGAATGTGATGCAAATAACTTAGTATTAATTTCTTTGACATAGGGAAGCGGCCATACATTCTCAAATCTCTGCTTTAAGAAATATATAGAACATCAATTCCTACAATCCCGTAAATATACTTTCATAACAAATGTCAACCGACATGAAACAGAATTCCCTACTTCCCCTCAACTAATCTCCAATTGTTGAATATAAACGTATTTCTTTTGGTGGAAAAATCACCTTGAAATCCTCTAGCCTACTTAAATAGTATAATGAATCAACTCTAATAAAGAAGACAGATCTTAAAGGGATTTTTTCTCAACCTATTGTTATCAGCTCCATTAAAGAATGTATCTAATAAAAATTATGTTGCTACATAAATGTGAACATATATGTCTACCTAGTGTATCAGATATTACACTTAATAAAATTTATAAACCACAGTGTATTTTTTTTCTTATGACTAATTAAAACAAAAATTTATGAATACAGTAGTAGTCACCTTGACATCATTTAAAATCAACCATATTAATTATAATTTTAAAAATAAGATAAGTTTATTTAGAAAAACAGATAGAAACTATCTGTTTGTAACCCTTCAATGAAAGGTTATTATTGAGTAATTTTTCTTAATTGAATTATCTTAGTCGGTTTACAGATAATTAAAGCTGTTCTTTACTAAGAGTTACTAATTAATGCAATAAACATATTGTAGTAAAACTGAAGGCAAGAAATGCAATAACGTTTCAGTATGTAGTTAACTATTAAAAAAATTAATGTCAAGTCTGGATTTGTTCTATTAGCCATCACAAAAATCATTGTTACGCTATAAATTTTCTTATATAATGCAGGGACCGTATAGTTCACCGATAATATCATTCACTGTTATACTAAGTGAAGCAGGTTCGAATATGATCCGGTGCATAAGTTCTTTTAAAATTATAGGTATGTTTTGCTGATGATAACTTTCTCGTTAGTAGACTAGGTTCAACTTTGTATTCTTAACGATAGTCTCTGATCATTTAATATCGTAATATTCTCTAGATACTGAAGAAAAATGTATTCCAACTAGTGTAAATTGTGATGTCTGATATCATGCTCAAACCTATTTGCGTTATAGGGCGAAAGATCATCTGGTAGTAACCAGGGCTACATCTACCCTTAAGTTCTACAAGTTCTATGGAATATCAGCAGTGGCCCGAATGGCTCAATGATAATGAGCTTGGGTGACATGAGTGAAAATCGTACAAGGAACATTATGATTTAAGGTTGGTCTGAATGACGAGTGCAAACTAACATGAAACTTAAGTTCAAAATTTCCTACCGAATACAAATACGCGCAATTACCTAACATTTCAACATAGTGACCTGATATCGAGTTACTTAGATCAAAAGCCAAATTGCTGCTTCATCCATAGAATTCGATCAACTCTAATGACTAGACAAAGATGACATTCTTTATAGGTACCAATACCAAGGTTGGGTTTGACAGTTTCAAATAAATAAACTGCCTGTTCCTCAGTAGATTATTATTAACCTCGTGTATTAGCTAAATCGAACCAAAATAAAAATCATGAATTTTCAGTTCTGTAACAATGAACTAATCAATTATGTACTACAAAAATATTCATCACAGCTAATAAATAAACGATGTATTAAGGCCTTAGCAATCAGTGGGAATGATTGGAGTAGGATTCAAACTTAAGATCTCTGGGTCACCATGTTTGTCTGGTTGTTGACTAGATATTTAAATTCAGTCGCCGCGTGTACGGTGTAAATTGGCGGTAAATAACAAACTGGATTTCATCAAATAAAAAGAACACTCAATCGAAACTAAACATGTACATAAATCAACTTTTTTCTCATCAGTTTGCTAAAATAACATACTGTTTCACAATAATGAAATTCAGTAAAAATCCTTGTCCTTTTGAATTGTGGTATAACAGCTATAGCAAATTGAAATCCAAGTCTTTTTGTATACTTATATTATATTTGGTAAACTTTTTATCTCAACAATACGAAAGTAACTGATAAATATTTAATCCGTTTCATTGGATCATTCTTTTGCAGTATTGGCTACTAAACTATACTCACATTGACTGCATGAGTATTTTATATCACCTTAACAGTCTGTTGAAATTGTTTTATGTAAGTTGACAACATTACTGATACTTTATATTTTAATGTCAAAGATCGATATCATTTCTAGACAAACATCAAATCAAAGTACATGTTTATGCTTCGCAAATGTATATTGACTTATAACTCTACGAACCTGTAAGTTCCACATTTGTTTACATTTGTGCTGAAAATGGATTTTCCCACTTGTAGGTGTTTGGTTGCATTGAATATATATATATATATATAACAAATACATAGGTAGATATATCTAGTCACTGATTACTCTATTACAACTTCAGGTCAGTAGTCAATCGATAATTATTTCTCTAAAGTAATTACTTACTTCAACAAAAACGATTATCATAATGTTAATTATGAAAACATTTTACAAAATCCTTTTAACTAATTTGCTAGTCATCACTTAATTCTTTTGTGAAGATTTGACTAGTTCAATAATCATTGTATTTATAATGTTAATAATTATGGATTATCATTTGTTGTTATCGTGCTCTATGTTGAAAAATTTTATCTAATTTAAAAACACCGGAAGTATGAAAAACTCCTAAATCATAAAAATATTTAAAATGTGATAAACTCATCAATAATAATAATAATAATGATAATATTTTCATAATTAGTCAAAGTTACATCATATTGATAACTGGTAAGCTAACATTTTACGTACCTTCAGTGTACATGCACAGTATTTTTTAAAACCATTTACAGGTACTTTCTTTAGCTTTGATATAGATATTAGTCAGCAAATCATTGAAAATCAGAGTACTAGCTAAATGCTTTCTTTTAGTTTAAGAGACCTGACCAGAGGACACCCATGTCCTTTAACCTCAACAAACCACGGGCTTTCAAATATCGTTACAAGCACTATGGCTTTGTCGATTTCAGATGGTGTGATTCCCCGGTGGTTTAGTTGGCATTACTTAAAGCGGAACAACTAGTGCGAAACATGCAGGTCATAGTTTTAGTTTCTTACGGGGTTGTGGGAGTGCATCGATGAGCAGTTCAAAAATCTAGAACACAAGAGTTTTTCAGTACCAGATTTTAAAACTGTTATAAGTTAGTAAAGAATAACAGTCCTTGGTTTACTTCAACATAGAACGTTGGATTATATTGATGACTATTCCAAGACAACATTGAATTAAACTACTGGTTTACCCTGGTTTTTCAATTAAAAGCGATTTGTGATGGAAATTTCTATTGATTTGTAGGAAATCTTTACAAAAGTTGTTAAACCAGTAAAAACATTTTCCCCATTATGAGCAAGATAGTATTAGTTGAAATATTTAACTTATAATGAACACTTATAATAATGATAGAAAATAATTGTAACCGTATTTTTACCCAAGAATAGAAAAAGTTATATGCATTCTCAGTTAGTTGTAAGAAAACGTTGTCCCTGAGTAAAATGCTTATATTGGTTCGAATTCCTTGATATCATAGTAGCACAGAGAGAAAGAAATGGTTTTGAAATATTTCAGGAGATATATATACCACCACTAATCAACAAAATCACTGTATAAAATAAAGGAATTACAACTATTATGATGTAATAAAATAATAAAAAATTCATAGAAGAAGATTAAGCAAATTCATTTCATCAACTGTGTCCCATATACTCATTAAATTTATCCATAAAATGTTTTACAAATGTGTTTTTTTAAATGCATTCTAATACAAGTTCAATTTATGTAGAAGTGTAAATAAGATAGAGAGGCTATAATCATATAGAACATGTGAAAATAGTTAGTTTTATATATTTAAAGAAATTAGTTTGCATATGAAATGCATTGGTATAATCCTAAACTATCTATTACTCTGACTTTTTTAAAGCCTGTTAAAGGTGATATATCACCAGAATTACATGAATGCAAATTCTTTAAATCACAATCCCTACCTCAAAATCTTTTGCTCCATCTAGAATAAATTAAATGAAGTCGTAATTAGAATAGAAAAATATTCATTCAAAAATACTATGATGTGTCAAACAGTAAACGATTGATCAACACAGACAATCAAAGACTCAGACTAACCGCTTTTACTTCACTTTTTGTTAGTCATCTCAACTTTGTCTACAGTACTAGAACTTACGAATGAAATTTCAGCAGAATGCTTAACACTTAACTACTCAGAATAACATAACAATTTCCTATCTTATATTCTTTGAATTTGCCAGTGAAGAAAGTTTTATAGTAATAATTGTGTTTTAGTTATTTTCATCTACAAATGTTTTCAACCAGTGTTTCACCTCTGGTACCTTTTTCTATTGCGTAATATATATGATGTATCGATTTCATTGTAACTCTTTGTCTCTCTATCTAATAAACAATGGGGAAAATGTACCTACGATGGTCGCAGTTATGTTTACATTTTTGAGTAAATGATTTTATAGTGGGTTACAGTCACTTTATAAGAGCAGATGAGTATATGAAGTTAGGACATATAAGTAGTTATTTAAAGCAAGTGTAAAACTTTGCTATAAGCTTTTAACAATGGAAAAATAGATAACACAGATGTTTGAGCAGGCCACGAAGTGATTTCCACATTCAAAGTGTGATGCTTCAGAATTGAGCGTCTACGGATCATTTAACCATCGCATCGAATTCAAGTAAAAATGTAATCATACAGAAAAAAAAGGACTTTTGTGATTCTTAACAACTTACCATGGTATCTTGATGTTTTTTATTCTGTAGTACCACGCAAATAGGTACTTCAGCTGTTGTTGACAAAACACAATGTAACGGAATCAACGCTTGTCCCATGAATCTAAATAAAAATATAATATATTGTACAAACAGTTTATCTTCATTCCTCAGGACAAAACTGAAATGTTGCTGATGATAACTTATTTAATTACTGCAATCTCAAAAATCTTATGGGTTCAACCAGTTAATTGTCAATAGATTGAACTCTCAAAGTGACATACAAACATGAATCTACCGCGATTTGATGTTTAACCACAACCGTTTGTGAAGCCAGCTTAATTACATCAATTTGTTTAGGACGACAGAAATGCTGATCTGAGAAATCAGTTTAAATACAGACAAATGGTAAAAAGAGACAGTTTTGTTCACGTCCACGTCATAAATCGTTTACTAGAATAAAACAGTTTTAGGTTTATGCTTACGTCACAGACAGACCGTACAAGACATAACATAGGTAATGATTTTGCTGATGGTGTTATCTATGGTGCATATGAGAGTTATAAAACCGTAGAATATGGAGACCATTTTTGAACTAATATCACTTGAAAACGAGTGAGAAAACATTCTGAAACTCCTTTCTAAAGTAACCGACAACTAAATTTAATGTACTGTCTATGACAGACGCAGTTGGTTTTTAATCAAGGTTTTTCATTTCCCAACTTTATCTATTAAATGACGGCTTCTTACTCCTTGGAGTTTTTGAAAACAGTGTCATGTCAAAACGATCAATATAACTTATTCGGTAACAGGTTATAAATATCCATAAGATTTATCATCCATATATATATATATATATATATATTGCTTACTTGTCTGGTGTAACTTTGTCGAAATCCATTACTTTGATCAATACGTTGTCGGAAGCAGCTAAAGGCTTTCCTTTTAAATCGATTATTATTTCCTATTTGATACAAAAATGAGTTTGATTGAATGTTTAATTTTGTGGAGTAATTATTATCTACCTCGTTCCATATCGGATTTAAATCGTCATCAATAACTTTTGTTTTCTGTTTTTGTCCTAAAAACATGGAAAATAAGTACATAAAAATATGTGGTAATTGTTTGTTGATTAGTTGATTTGCATTGTTACATAAAATATTTTGCAGTTGGTATATGGGTTTGATAAACCTAATAGGTATGACTGACAAGTTTGTACATGTTATTTGCTCATAAAATCAAACTAAAATACGTATCAAACAGACTTCAGAGGATAGAATTCAATTTGATACTTATGAAAAAATTCAACTAGGAACGTTTTTTACCTAATTATCAAGGATAAAACTGAAGATCGCTGTAGTAATTCAGTGCAAATTAGTAGGGATCTGAATAAAAACAAATTTCAACCGATATTGGCTACTCTATATCGTGCAAAATTACTCACTGGTTTCAGTTAATCACAAAATATCTGAAAGCTTTCAATATGACTATAAAAGATTTAATGATGAACCAAATGATAAGGTGAATTAACTTAAATCGGTGTCTTGAACTCAATTGTATGTATGCTATGAAGCTATAGAAGCTATGGGAGGTGTTAAGGTTAACAGAATGATATTTTTCGATGAGGAGGAAATTTTACTTATTAGGATTTTTAAGTGGACATCAATCATAAATGTTAGGATTTTGACCATTTACATTCACAATATGCTTATATTAATCATATACATCAAACTGAGAGTAATTCAATAAAAATGAAAGACAACAGCAAAAAAGCCAACAGCTTTTTGTTCGTAAATGTATCTTTGAATTATCTAATGAAAAACAGACTGGTAGTATACACAACTATAGAGGTGTGACTTCGTTGTTAAGGTACTATATTTTCAGTCATCAAGCTACGGATGCAGTTCATAATTTGCATAATTCACCAAAATAGCCTGTTCATTTTATTATAAAATATCCAATCTGGTAACTGTCGATGTGCTTGTTTTCAATTATCACTAATAATCACTTCAAGTATTCCGAGTACTTTATCTTCCCTCTTTCAATTATTTAGTTACGCATTCGATGTTACTTTCATAATTATTTATGAAATTACAACATTATTATTTAACTCTACTGTTCGATTATCAGTATTTCATCATTGTAAATCACATATACATTAGTGTAGAGGTTTGGTAAAAAACCAATTGAAGTAAGGTATTTCACCGTTAGGTTTGTCTTTCAATTCTATTTGAACAATCAAATAGTATCACTAATCTTCATGCACAAAATGTATTCCTAAAATTCAAGTACTTAGCTACTGAATTATATTAACAATGTATATCTCTATAAAATGTCAAAAATTAAAAGTACTGTGTGAGTGGACACTTTTTTAACTGAAATTTTCGTTTGCATACATTGTATCTTTGACGTTTAAATGGGGATCTTCGAATAGATAAAAACTACAGTATAAATAGGCTTTTGACTATAATTATTGATGCTATGTTGGATGAACGGAGGTAATTGAGAGAAAACTCTGAACCAATACTTCGTAATAGTTGATTCTTGCCAGCAAAGAGTAGTTTCAGTTTTGAGGTTAATGACGATCCCTGCTTCAACCATCTTTGGTTCAAAATGCTACTAGCAAATAAGTAATCTCTTGTATGACATATATTTACATCAATTGATCACCCAGTAGTGACCGATATCCCACTTGTCTAATCATTATTGCTAATGAGATTCTATAGATCAATTTGTAATATGGTCTGATTAATTCGAAAATTCACATTTTAGGAAAAATTTATCAACAATTTGATATTCACCAAAACAAGTAAACGTTGAATCTGTCAGTAATTATTTTTCTTAAATTTTTATTTATTTGGCCACTTATTCTTTTCAAACAAATACAAACAATCAATACGCATATATTAATATATCCCAGAGTTATTTAACAACAAATTTTACACTTTCAACTTTGTTTACTTGTTTTTATAACAAAATAACACAACACACAAAAGAAGTATTAAAGAAAATTATTTAATTATTCATTTTTACTGCAATGTCCTGATTTTATCAATAACAATATCTTTATTGATAGATCAAGTACAATGAACAGGAATAATCATGTTTAATAATTCAATTTACAATTTGATAAACTTTATATAAACTTGTATTTAAAAAGTATTGTTCATGTAACAAATAAATTTGGGACATCTCATACTGATTTACTGTTATGTATTTTTGATGTATATCAACTTTTTTTCGATGTGAACTGAATATAGTCCACCGTTTATAGTTTCCAGTCTAAATCTCCGTGTTAGGATGAGTATTATTTAAAAGATGATTCAGTGATCATAATTTACATTAGATCAGCTAGAATTTACAATTAACTATTAAGTAAATAAGATGGAGAATGGTTTTATATAGTAAACTGAATATTATACAAGTTGTCGAAAATCTATCATTCATAAACTGACATATTGTTGTCAGAAGAGTTATTAAGTTGCTAATTTATGAGTGAGCACAACACGCATATACGCAAACCAGGCATTAGAGGGGTTTACAGGAGATAATTAACTCATCCAGTTAATCAGATAAATGTAAATGGTATCCATAATGAATTGATCTCAGTTGACTCAACATTGAAAACCGGAAATTATTAGGCAACTGTTTCATCCTAGTGCACGATTATGCAGTGTCGTGGACTCACGACCCCACGAGGAAGAGAATCCAAAACCTTTGGGTATCGATGAGAACGCTTAGTCACTAGAACCATTAAGTTAGTGTCCGATGGTAATTAATTATAGGCAAATTAAAAAGTACTTAATAAACATGGAAAACCAGGAGAAGTATTTTACTATCTGCAAATTCCCAGTTGAATGTACCTTCATCTTAGTGTCGTTGAGGTTTATATACTGAGACTCAAGCTCAGCGTCTAATGCTTTAGTAACCAATAATTTATCCATTACCAACAATCCGGAAATATGTATTTCGCTTATAGCTACAAGCTATATCGCGGCTTCTCGAAAAGTTCATATTGCAAGCATGATTCTCGATTTTGTAATTTTCTCAATGTTAAGTTCACCCTGTTATACTCGTTGTACAATGTAGATAATTTTATCAACATAACTATATTTTTGTTCCTGTTGGTTTTTGAAAAAATGTCCGTTGTGCCAATTTTGTAGATTACCATGAGTCTTAAGCGATCCGTTTTAGGATACTGGTGGAAACAGCTGAAAATGATTATTTATGAAAGAACACAGCTTATCTGAATGAACGGATATTCTATTAAAAGCGTCGAGAAATCAAACATTTCGAGATCGGCCACCTTGGCACGAAATCATTGCTTTTCAAAGAAACATCAAATTCTTTGCTAACTAGAACGCAACACAAACATTTCTACAACATAATACAAAGTTACACAACAAAGATTTCCTTTACATGACTGACAAGGAATCTTCGCAACTTGATGATAAACAGTCACTGACTGAATTTTACAACTACTATGATAATGAAGCCTAAAATGTGTGATTCAATCTAACTATAAGTCATCAGTATCCCAGTGACCTGGATTCAAGTGGGCGATTCAATCCAAAAGAATTACGAGCTTCACCCTAGGTGAATTATTAGATACGAAGCTTAGCTTTTTATCAAAGAAAAATTTTTTCGTAAAAAATTGCTTAAATGCATTTCTAAGTGGAGTGGAATTTTTAGTATTGAGTCGTTTCTGACTGTCAAGCACATTTTTAAACAAGGATATCGTCTAGATATATTTGGCTGAAGTTGAAAATATAAACTATTGTGATCAAATTAGGTGTTCTAAAGACAGAGAACTTGTTGTACGATCTCTGTCTTATATTCGGTCTCTGACAGTCATAGATGTATAGAGTTGAGTTTCATACTGTGATGAAACAGCCACTCAAGGCTCTTTTATTTTCAAAGGTTTTATACCCAATGTTTGTACATAATGTAAGCTATCTTCAGATTTAACAATCTTAGCAGTTATCACATTTTAATATATATAACTATTAATGATGCATCAATCGCTGTGAAATATAAAAATCCACTAGAATGCACTGATATAAGATTAGAACATAGTTTCGTATCCTAATAATGATGTTATTGTTGTTCCGTTTTCAATCAAAACAACTGTTCATCACAAACTATTAAGCTTTCTAGTGTTTATGCCAAAATAATTATGACAAACAAGTGTTCAACTACATTTTGGTCACTGTAGCCCACTGATTTTTCGGAATCTTGTACAGACTTGAATTTGGTCATTAAAATGATTAAAAAAACTGGAGAAGTCTGATGAGTTGGTGTCTATCACTTTTTTATAAAAAGTTAAGTTATTGTGTAACACTTAGTATGGGGGCTTTGTGAAGATTATTGTGTCTTAAAGTTTTATACCAAAGAATAACCTTAGCTAAGCAACCACTGAAAACCGGGGAGCAAAGGAGAGCTACGTCGTCCTAGCATATGACTCGCTAATACTATCTTCAAAAAATTCACTAACCACTCATTTTGCAATGGTCAGTAAGAAAGATTAAGTCAGCGTTAGAATAGATAGAAATAAAATGAGATAATTATTGCATTGAAAGAAAATAAAACGTTTCAGTTGTATATTGATAATTCACATTGTCCAGCTAAGTTCAAGTTGTAATGTAATACAATTAACAGTCGCTTGTATTAGAAATCAATTTGTCGCTTTTTTGACATCGTTCGACACTACGCCAAAGATAGATCTTCGTGGGAGCTTTGAGAATCTGTTTACTGACTGTAGTCAGCTGGATTCCACTTTCAATGATCTAAAGTTATCATACTCGCGCCCGACCTGAATGCCGTAAATTTGGTCTTATGAACTAGGTTGTGTGTGTGCACTATTAAAAATCAGCAAAATACGATGACCTACATATTCAGTACTCACCGATTTTCAGTGATTATCCAAACAAGTCTATTTTCTTTGTTAATGCCATATGTTCAACTTTATGTACAAACAATAATAAATAATGATAATTCACTTTTCATTCAAACTTTTATGTTCTTGGCTTTATGTAATACTTTTTTCATGTAAGAGCCAGTTATTCCACTCGGCTGCTGTAACTGAACTCGTAAGCTGAGTGTTGAAAGTCTAGTGCTTTTTCCAGTAATTCACTGCGCCACAACGTTGTGTTTAGTGAATATTCGTTTGTTTTTAACGGGATTGATTAACTTTCATGTTTAAAACACTACGATAGTAGTGAATAATATACTGAGAACCATTGTTTTCTGCAGTTCTATGTTATGTATGTTTTATGTAAAACATACAGATCATTATGTTGGACCTAACCTAATTTGTTCCATGGAATGGTGGAAGCTTTTTAAGATATGATGATAATTATCTTTATCTATTCAGTGTATTTGATACCACTTCTAATCCAAGGGACGATTTTCTAAAATTACTAAAACTTGGTGTCGGTTGTGGTCATCAAACAAAACTTATACTTTAAAACTGCCAATGCTTATATTTTATCGTTTCAGATTGTGATAGTTGCAAAATATGAGCCTTGTAAACACCAATCATATAATTTCACTGCCATTACTACCTGTTGTCTGTGAAATGATATCATGTGAAGAAATCTGAGTAATTACTTATACCAATTAATCTTATTTGAAAAGAAAATTCACAATGATTTTTAGACAACTAGGGAGTTGTTACAAATGTGCACTGGTTGAAGTTTTCATAAATGATATCAAAAATGTAAGATTAAGAGTTCAGGTGGCAAAAAGTGACATTGTAAAAATAATTATACAAATATTTTTGTGTTTTTAAACGCCGCCCCATTCGCCAACATTACAAACATATTTGCATTAAGATTATATCATTATAAGCAGATATTTTGCCAATTTAGCGTACTTATGGGCCGTTAAAAGCTTGCACATCAAGTCTATTCTGGAAGCCTACTTTAGCCAAAATATGTGCACATTATAAATGTTTAAGATTGAGGCAAAATGTTTAGTGGGTCATCACAAAAACCTAATCATCTTGATAAGCGTAATCGGTTTGACAGGGCTTCAGAAGTTATGGACTAATAAAAGTATCATAAATTGTAAACAGTAAATATTTATCTAAATAAAATCAAGCAGAGAGAGAATGTTGCTTCTGCATATTTTGTCATTATGTTAGTTTCCAGGGGAAAACAAAGTAACATGCTACACAGCAGTCATTCCCTAAATACTAAAAAGGTGACAAAATAGATATTAAGTTAAAATACGAAGCAATTTAGTTTATTCCTTTGTGTATATCCCCACTAGCCATAATAGTTAAAATATAATTCAAAACACCACCCTAAAACAAAAACTTACCATGTTATCAGGCTAAATGAATTACAAACGTGTTGAACATAAACTCTTCAAGTAGTCGTTTACGTTAAGACAATTAAGAGAGCTGAAAATATCAAGTAGTTAAGATTAACGATTGAATTCGGTCATAAACCTTCAGATAAAGATGTCATGTTACTCAACGAATTTGTTACCGTATGCTGGTTAAAAAAGTTCAGTTACTTATTATGCTCATGAAATCATCGAATACCCCTGAGCACGATGATAACTAAATTGAGTTAGACGTTGTCCCGTCATGCGAAACCATTTATAATTTACTTGGGCTGTACTGTAATATATAGATTTACTGATTGTCCTGTTTTGTTTATGCATATATTATTGATCAAAAGTCATTCCTAGATCCAAACTCTTTATCGGTAATTTGCATTTTTGGCACATCCATTGGTTTATCATGATGCCTTTTCTCTTTTCACGCGAAATCGCAGAACTTTAGTGTTCATTTCTTAATAAAAGTATCACAGATATGTTTACTTGTAACAAAGGTCTTACAGTGAACCAAAATCAATGTTTTTGTTCTAATCCATCTGCAAAGACTTTGGCAAAAGATACGGTTATTCGGTATTCAGGTGTAAGAGATCATATAAAAACTATTATTATATGATACAGATTTGAAAACCTACATGACTTAACAATTAAATCTCTACTAAACAAGTAGCTAAATCTACCTAGTGAATAACTCCGACAACTATTCTGTGATCACATCACTTAACTAAAGCCGACTTAATTGTACTTTGTGTTTACATAATTTTTAGAAGTATAGTGTTATCTATAAAAGCTAAGGTCAGATAAGAATGGTGATACCTTCAGTAGCTTATAAAAGCAAATTCAAATATTTGTAGTCTATCCACTAGTAAGTTGATTAATTAATGGTGGTTTTTAGTAAAATAGAGTGTATAGCCCGAAACCTAAAAAAAATCTATTCAATTTCAAATATTAGTTGATCAGGAAAATTGAGAAAAGTACAGTGGGGTTAATGTTTTGTCAAAATTTATAGATTGTGAGTCACATCCTATATTGTCAAACAGTCCATAAAATTGGATTGTCAAGAAACCAGAGGTATCATAAACTCATCTTATCTGATCTGTTTCTTGTGTATAACCTCAAGCAATTTAAAATCGAAGATGATTACGGCGGAAAATTAAAACAATGTACCCATTTGTTTATACTCTAAAGTCGTCCATTTCTACAAATATAATCTACTAAAAGGCTTATTTTTGACTAATAAATCACCTGAACTCTAAATCTATAGTTTTGCCGATATTTTAGCTTCTAAATAACTTTTTCTAACCCAGGTATACTAAAAATACGATTCACGCAGGATTTATATTTCCTTTTTCGTGCATTTGATTACCGTTGAATTGAAGATTATGACAAATTTATTCAGCAGGCCAACTTTTTTTAAAAACAAGAAATTACGGGAGTTATATGACACTATTTACTAAAACATACGCTATGTTTTGGTAGGTTAGCCATAAAATTTTATTTTATTTTCATTCTATCGAAATGTTTATGACGTGAAAGAGCTTGCTCAAACTCGCTGTCCATCGGCCAGTCACATATAATCCAGAAACTGACGGGTATACATCGGTTCACATTAACCCACTACACCAGCAGGAGTCAAAAATATCAAGACAAATCCTGTGGTAGTAGGATAACTAGTAATATCAGTATTATTAAAAAACGTTTAGATACGAAAGGAATAAAGGTGGTTTGGGAGTCAGTGGCAAAGGGAAGATACAGAATAGATGAAACAGTGCCATTGGAGGAAATTTTGAGGCATGTCATCCAAAGTTTATGACCATTATTTGTGATAGTTAAGCAATCCGCAGTGACTTTACATTTTAGTTTTTTTTAATTTCACGGGATAAAAATAAACTTAGATTGTATAAATGAGCTTATAACTTGAATCAAATAATATAAAGCGTATACATTTTGTTAAAGTTTTTCAAACCTTTTCATCCATTATAAAAATGAAAGGTCAACTGAAAACAATTGCTAGATGTAAGTAATTGCTGTACCAATTTCTACTTTATCAGATAATAACAACAAATTGCTTTTCTTCCTAAGCAAACGTTCATCAACCATTTATGTCGTAGCAGAAAGTGACACAGGGAGACCAAAAACTTCGGTATTATGTGCTAATAATTCACAACTCTTTTAAAAACTTTAAAACACTAGCTTGATATGTTTGACAAAAATCATATGACGCAAAACGACAATATAATATATAAGTCAACGTTAATATTAAATACCTTGAAAATCGACAACGACGTAAGGGTCACTCTTCCCTGAGATTTCGATATTTTTCAAGTTATTGGCCTTCTTCACGTTCACATGAAGCGCATACATATTTCACAAACCAAAAGTGATGCGGCAGAGCATCGACCCTACACAATGACCTATTAAAATGTTTCAATGGTTAAAACAAAATAGGTAAGCATTCAATATCGCCATATGTCTCCTTCCGAGTTTACTTACCCATTAATTTAACGTGCAGGCAAGCAATCACATTTTTAAATTATTCTATTCAACATACCAACTATCTTTGTGACGAGCTACTATTAATTATCTTCATTCTTTACAGTTCATTCCCGGTATTAACTAACGGTAACAGTTGTTTGTTATTAAATATTTTGACCACTCTACCCTACCATGCCCATTAAAAAGACAACTAGTGTTTCTTAAGCATATTTGAGTGTAATGTTTGCATGTTATGTTCGAAACGATCCAATATCTTTATTGCAGGCTAGTACAAACCGATTGATTTATTTGCGCTCGATTATCTTTAGTTCGGTATTGTTCCAGTCACTAGGTAATTTTTAGTGTGTGGAATCACAGTCAACTGATGCCACCAAGTCTAGTCGCTTTGACAGTTGTCTGTGGATTTGTATATCTTATAATTTGAATTAATCGGTAAGGCGGAGAGTGTGAGGTTGAATCGTAATTATAGAAGGCTATACTAATAAACGAGGTAGGAAGTAGCTTTTGATATTTAATAACGATAACGGACGACAAGTTATGAGGCATGCATCAGATACAGCTGGTCCAAGAGGGAGGTAAGCGTGTTTGTCGAGTCACCTCTCAAAGCTATCCATTACGGGGTACGCGGTCAGTTCGGCCATCGGAGAATTCCAAGTGTGGCAACTTTTAACGAGACAAAGTGCGTGTCTCTAGGTGCAGTTTCTCGGGAGTCGTCTCTAGAAGTGTAGTGATTATGTTATGGCAGAGAGTTTGCGTCGGGGTGACCTGGAGTGTTTGGTATTTTGAGTGCCACTATCGGGTCACTATTTATTCTCCCGTAGCCTGATGTGGGCCTTCCTTCGTCAGATTTATTCTCTTATGTTAGGGGAGACTCAAGTTAAGTAAGGCATTACTTGAGAAGAAACAATCAGTAAGGAGACCTCAATTTGTAGGGGAGCTTGAGATGTCAGGTATTGGTGTGTTCGAGTTCGTTAATCTCATTCAAACCCTCGTATACATGACTGGCTAGAGTACAATGAGGCCATTTCTCTTGTTGCATTGATCTATATGCTCCATCGAAACCTACAAGCATCCAACCTAAATGCTTTCGCACACCAAACGAATGTTTTCTACCTTACGGGTGCTGTTCTTTTGCCCAATATGCGTCTGGAGCATCACATTCAATCGATACTCCCACTGGCTTACTTCATAACCTCAGAAGAGCTGTATCTTTTGAACACATCCGTCGTTCCAGCCGCTGTTTGACTAGAGGTTTGTGGGAATAGTTAAAACATACTTATTTTCTAATTGATTTTTACTGTGATTCGCATTTTCTATTAGTCCTCAGAGTTTTCCCGATTACCATCCTTGACTGTAAAACTGTTTTTTGAAAAAACATGACCTTTGATCTTCCACTCCGTTTTCGTTTTTGAATTCCATGTAACATAAAACACTGTTCATCACTCATTAATATTCCAATATTTATTCGAACACAAAAACATTGGTACAAAGGAGGCCACAAATACATAACTTCATGCAATGACAATGACTTTGTAAGGAGATAGCGAATGCACAGTGCGTATGATAAAACGAAAGACACCAATGAACAGGAATCGGGGTATAAAATTAAAATAATTAAACTACGAGAAATAGTTCAGTTTGAAAAAGTACAGCCGTAAAATGTACTTTCAGTTGAAAGAGGTACGTCCATTTTTTTGAATTCATGAGTCAAGCTAATCTAGACCACCACTGAAAACGAGGAAATAATGGGTTACCTCTTCGTCGACAATTCTGCGCGCAGGACTAGAACCTAGGACTTTGAGTCTCACATGGGAACGTCTAACCGTCAGATTAGTGGTCCCATACTAGGACGGAATGGCCGTGCAGTGATTCCAGGTTCTCACTAGCAGTCTTACTTACATGGACTCATGAATTGAGCTATTGAAAATACTACAGTTTCTAAAGATCTCCATTTTGAGTATGCTTTTATGTTTTAAAATTATTAAATATAACGGTTAGGAAAATTGGAATAGAATGAACTGTGGGCAAGGCATCGATGCATCGCTTTAAATGACCATAGTATAAATGATGGGTTTCCAAACAATACAAAATTTCGCACAGAATACATGAAAACTATAACGTTGACCTGATTGTGAACCCACCTGATGATTCTAGCTACTATGCAAGTCAAGCTACACTACGCAAATCTTTGATACCCCTAACTCGACATATACACCACCCCATCCTTTTTCATCTCTATCACCATCAAAAGCGCTGCAATGGGGTCTCCAGATATTGAAGGCGATAATCCCACTATTCTAGGATCATCCTCTATATACACCGACCTAATAGGGAGTGCCATACTTTCTTCTTCGTCGATAACTGTCCCTAGCCTTGAAAGCTCCTTCAGTCGACCCCCTCAAGACTACCTAAGTGCGCTGCCTATCAACCCAGCCCATTCCACTCTACCTGTCATTACCAAACATGCTTCTTTCTCCAAACTACCCTCCGACTACCTTCCTCCTATTGGCAATATTGGTATTAAATCAAACGAACATGAATATGGAGCTAGTACTTCTATTTCATCTTGTTCTCATTACGAAACAGACAATCTACTAACCGTACCTGACACTAATGTTATTATTATTATTATTATTGGCTTTATTCAATATTATATTTTGGTACAATATAGAATTCTCAGCACCCCAGTTATATCACGCATAAGTGACCAAAAGAAACAAGTGTTTACACTATATTTCATTATTAAGAAAGCTTTTGATAAAGTACCTCATAGCCTTCCAATCAACAAACTTCAGTCACTTGAAATTACAAACCCCCTATTGCGAATAATCAAGTCCTTTCTCATGAGCGGCTAAAAAATAACCAAAGTTAACTCTTTAACATCTCTACTTTGACCAATAACCAGTGTTGTTCTGCTGGATAGTGTCGTGGGTTCATTACTTTATACAATTTACATTAACAATGCATGCAGGTGCCTTAACATAGGTAAGACCTACCTTGACGCTGATGAATTAAAAGTCATTGATAAGACTAACATTTGCAATGTACGTAGTACTATGCAAATAATCTAACAAGAACCGAACAAGGTAGACGACTGATGGAAACGCTGAAGGTTGTGGCTCAGCACAGAGAAATGCTAAGTATTTTAGACATGTCACTTAAAATAAAACTAACAAGACCACACTGCCCAAACTCACATCACTAACTGAAGTAGGTGTAAATACTGGAGAAGAATGCTTGGGTCCAATTAGATTTTCTACGTCAAACCCCTCAAAAACCTAACTTACTTCAAATGTCATATAGTATAGTGCTTGACGGAGTACAAAGTCAACACAACAAGCATAAACAGGTAGAGGAACGTACTGCACTCGCTGCTGCATCTAAAGCCCAAGCCCTATGTCGTCTCCTCACGAAACGCATAAGAAAGAACACAGACCACAACATTCACTCCTTACTGCACGATGGAGTAACGTATAATGACCAAACCGTCATATGTGAACTATTAAGTGAATGGTTTTCTCACAATGGGAATACATCTGATGCTCCAGATATCGACATAAAGTGCACCGGCAAAAACTATCTTAGTACCATAAACTTCGACATTAGGAGTATACATACCGCCATTCAAACCCTTAAGCCAAATGCGAGTTCTGGTGCCGATGACATCCCTTCAATCGTTTATAAAATGTCAGAACCGGACATACAGACGCTACTACTCAAAATATACACATTATCTTTAGAGACAGGTACATATCCGGAAACCTGGAAGGTAACCTATGTTCTTCCCAAACACAAATCCGGACCGAGAAACCTGGTTGAAAACTACAGACCTATAAATATCACTCCAGTCATATCACGTATAATGGAAAAAGTGATACAAAATCAACTATCTGATCACCTACTCAAGTAAGATTTAATAGACCCGTCACAACACGGCTTCATTAGAACAAGGTCGTGCAGTACATGCCTGATAGACTTCTTTAACGAGGTTACTCGTATACGTGACCAGAAGAAACTAGTTATTATACTATACTTCGATATTAAGAAAGCCTTTGATAAAGTACCTCATAATCTTCTAATCAACAGACTGAAGTCAGTTGTAATTATAAATCCCCTTTTGCAATGGATCAAGTCTTTTCTTACGAACAGATATCAAATAACCAAGATTAACTCTAATACATCTACACCTCGACCGATAACCAGTGGTGTTGTGCAGGGTAGTGTCTTGGGCCCATTGCTCCTTATAATCTACATCAACAATATATGCAAGTGTTTTAGCACAGGTAAGACCTACCTCTATGCCGATGACTTAAAAGTCATCTATAAAACTGACATTTGCGATTTACGCAGTACTATGCAAACAATCCAACATGAACTCAACATGGTAGATAACTGGTGCAAACGCTGGAGGTTAGAGCTCAACATAGAGAAATGCGGCTGGTTATGTATACGAGACACGTCTCTTAAAATGAAACTAACACTTAGCAATCACACACTGCCCAGACTGGCATCAGTAACTGACCTAGGGGTACATTACACACAGTCTTAATTTCTCTGAACACATCTCAGCCAAAGCATCCAAAATGCGGAAATTGTTTGGCTTCATTCTCCGTAATTTCTATCAAAATGAATCTAAAATCCTTCTTTACAAAGTTTGTGTAAGACCTATCGTTGAATACTGCTCGTTCTTATTTCCCAACCTACGTCTATCTGATATACTAAAGGTGGAAGGAATACAACGAGACTTCACCCGCAAAGTACTTAAGACTGACTCGGTCATTGACTACAGTTCTCGATGCCAAATCTTAGGAATAGCACCCCTTTGGGAGAGAAGGCTTAGGTCTAATTTGATTCTCTACTTCAAACTACTCAAAAACCTTACTTACTCAACATGTCAGATAATTCTTGCCCGAGA